TCACCCTCATGTCGTTCCAAACCCATAAGACTTTCGTTCATCTTCGGAACACGAATTAAGATATTTTTGATGAAACCGGAGAGCTATCTGATCCTCCATAGACAGCAACGCAACTGAAATGTTCCCAGACAGAAACGTAGTAAATACATTGGTAAAACAGTCCATGTGACGTCAGTGGCTCAACTTCAGTTTTGCGATGCTACGAGAATACTTTTTTTTGTGCAAAGAAAACAAAAATAACAATTTACTCAACCATTCTTCTCTCTCGAGTTACGTCTTCCACCATTTTGGAGAGTACCCAAGAGCGTAATCAACATAATCAGCATTGTTTACGTTCGGGGGGAAAGCGCGTGCATGAACGTAATCTGCGTAATAAGCATTGTTTACACTTAAAGGAAAGCGTGTGTATGCATTGTAATACTCTTTTTCTTTGCGCAAAAAAAGTATTCTCGTAGCATTGCAAAACTGAAGTTGAGCCATGTCACATGGACTGTTTTACCGATGTCCTTTATATGTTTCTGGACCTGGGAACATTACAGTTGCGTTGCTGTCTATGGAGGATCAGATAGCTCTCCGGTTTCATCAAAATGAGCTTAATTTGTGTTCCGAAGATGAACGAAGGTCTTACGGGTTTGGAACAACATGAGGGTGAGTAATTAATGACAGAATTTTCATGCTGGAGTGAACAAACCCTTCAAATCTTATCTTATTGTATCACACTTTCTCTAAAATATTAAGCAGCATAATACTGATTTTCAGTACTGATAATAATAAAAAATGTTTCTTGAGTAGCAAATCAGCCTATTAGATTGACATCTGAAGGTTCATGTTACACTGAAGACTGGAGTAATGGCTGCTGAAAATTCAGCTTTACCTAATTACATTTAAAATGTATTAAAATAGAAAGCCGTTATTTTAAATTGTAATAATATTTCACAATATTACTGTTTTACCTGTCTCTTTGATCAAATAAATGCAGCCTTGGTGAGCATAAGAGACTTCTTTCCAAAACGTATCTTTCCAAACAATTTTTGAATGATAATGCATAAATATAGACTTTAGGGTTTTCAGTAAAATGTGATTAAATGTAAAGCTTGTGTCCTATAGTTATCATGTGACAAAGAACAAGTGCAAATGACTCAGATCTCCCAGTTTTAAAAGGTTAATAAATGTAACCGTTTTATTAGAATTTTTAAGATTAACATTAAGTTATCATGCATTTCTATCAGTCCTGATAGCACCTACATTGTTAACTCACATTGTCCACTTGCGCTACATCATCCCCTTCAAGACACTGCAGGTCAAAGGTCACCAGACCATGGGAGTGCATTCGTAAGATGGCAAACCTGATTACAAGGGAAATTTAGAAGCACAATTAAAACCTCAAAACTGCAGTCAAACACTTTACCAAACAGTAATATGTGGCACTCAGGCCACAACAAAGCCCCAACAGCCGTGTTTACAGCGAGCCACACATAAAACAGGAAGTGAGCGCAAAGCCTTTAGATCAGATGCACAAAAGCCACTAAAATGACCCTGTGCTCTACTAAATGCTTTCCTTTGTTGCACAGAGGATGCATTTAACTGGTCAATCAATGGTCATCCTAAAGAGTGTCTGAACACAGGAGCACACCTGGTGTTTTCAGTGGGGCGTTTGTGTGGTCAGGCATCATTATTGTCAGTTAGCTTCAACATTACGCTTAGCTGTTACAGAGCAAAAATGAAAAAACTTCATGGAATGGACTGATCGAAAGGAAACTTGTCTCTTTTTTTCCTAGCTGATGAGTCATTGCTAAAAAAAACTCTATATAACGAGAGGGCAATGCAAATTCAGGTCCCTGCTGCTTTCAGCTAAACAAAGCCTGTTGAAGAGTTTTTGAATACTGTGGCATGTTGCGAAAGACACTGATGTTCTACTGAAGACATTTGAGGCAAAGCTGCTCACCTGCCATTCTTGCCGACAAAGGTTGCCAGATATCCGTGTCCCTCCGAGTCATGGACATTCTCTGTCATTTCCTGCTCTTGAAATATAGACTGCAGGCCACGCACAGTCGCAGAGACATCAGCTAAACAGAGAGAGGAACAACAGACAGATTCATTTAACCTCTAACAAAGAATATATTTTAACTGAAAAAAAAAAACTGTCCCTAAAGCCAATTTTATTGCATTATTATGCTCAGCTCATTTGCATATTTAATAATGTTTCTTAAATTACTTAAAGGTATAGTTCAGCCCAAAAACAAAAACTCATTTACACACCCTCATGTTGTATGACTTTTTCCACTAGGTGACACATAAAAGGAGATATATTGGAATATATATATATAAAAAAGGAGTTTAACTATCCCTTTAAAAACTGACAACTTAAAGGTTCAATAGGTGATTGTCCTCAGAATTTTTTTTTGTTATGCTGGTTTAAAGTCTCTTCACATCCCCATAGCAATCTTTAAGTTAAGTGGTCTAAATGTATTTGTCTGTATTTATATATTCTGTGGAAGGCGTAGGACCAAGAAATGTTCGTCCAATCAAAACGCTCGGTCCGAGCATTTTAATTGGCTTTCCTACCTGCCTGTCAACATATGTATTAGCATACCTCTGCACACCCGGTTCGCGCAGACAGGACACGTCATCAGCGCGTTCACACACACTGTGCAGACAGAGCGAGGATGGCAAACAAGCATCAACAACCCGATCTTCCTTCCTGGTATTGTTGTACTTTAAAGTTTTCTCACCGGTGAATGACACATGATATAGCCCAGCAGTTCCCAATTCCAGTCCTCGCGCACCCCACTCTGCATATTTTGCATGTCTCGCTTGGTTAACACACCCGATTCAGATAACCAGCTCGATAGAAGTGAGCTACGTGCATGAACTGTGTTCCGATCGATATGATCCCTACACAGTGTCCATTGCTCCATACTCCCTGAGCAGGAGAAATCCGTTGAAGTTTACTTCACTTCGGAACATTAATTCATTCAACTTACTAGAGAAGTGTGACATAATATACCTCTGTAAATAAATACTATTTAAATTTACGTCTTGCACATTTTAATGCCCTGTGTATGGAACATATCCGCTCGCTTCGAACTGGATGGCGGAATATCTGGTGATGTCCACTTCCCAGGACGCTTATGGTCGAATTGAAATCTGGTATTCTGGTCTGTGAGTGTAAATGCGTTCAGGGGGCGTGGCTTTGGACAGCGATTGCAGGGAGGGTGGGACTTTCGCTTTCAGTGCTATCAGGCTAAAGTTAGCATTTTCCAAGATCTCCTACTGCACCTTTCACTGCATCTTTTCTACACTGAAAGTCGTAGGTTGATCGGTTTTGAACAGCACGACAGCGAATAAATAATTTAAATTTTTGAATAAAATACATTTAATAATCGAATGAAATGGAATCAAATAAATTACATTTCATAATTTACCAAAAACTATAATTTCATGATAACTAATTTAATTGCAGGATTCAAATTGCTCTTGAATAAAAGGATAACTTGCAAAACAATCAATTGTAACCTAGTTAAGCTCATCTACACAAACAAGCCGATTCATATTGATTCCTATCCATTCTACGGTTTATAAAGTCGTGTGAATTGCAACATACAGATTTGCAGCCATAAACTGATCTAATATTAATCCAAAATCATAGTACATGATAGTCTGCACCTGTCACACGGACCACAAAACAGATATGGCATGTTTGTGTGTAAAATCGAAGTATGATCGCGGCAGTATGCAATCATGGAATACTCATCTTATCGGCTTGCGATATTATAAGCCAGTGAAATAGAGGCACGGCTGTCATAGGAGGTGAGGCATACAGGGGGAAAAAAACCGCTAGTTCAAAAATATATAACGTTATGTCATATACGTACGGTACTAGTGCCTATAACGGGGTTACGCGCTGTTCATTCATAAAAATAGATAATATGAAAAATGCAATATTTGCGTTAATATGCGCCGCGGCTAATTCGTCTGGTAGTCAGTGCATATGTATGTTCATACATGAGCTTCATTCAAATACATGACACAGAGCAGACATTAGCCTCTGCTAACACCGCTATGCTACGTTACCCCCCAGAAGGTCAATTATCAGAGCAAACGTCAGGAGGACATGCGCAACAAAAGAAGCCCTACGAATGCAATAACACATGCATCCCGTGGCCGTCTCAGCAATGCAGCAGTGGGACTGCAGCCACGCTGCTATTATAGAGACAATAAATCGCTTACGGAGCAGTTGCGAGGAGGCCCGCATGTCTGCAGTGCAACACGAGCCCTCCTCTTCCTCCTCTCCTCTTCCACTCGCCCCCTTCATTCATTTCACTGAGATTTACCTGGCGCACGGAGCTTGAAGTCAAGGGTGTAATGTAGCACTGCCATGATGGGGTAAAGCCGTCTGCCATGCCTGGATGAGGCAGCCGGAGGTGAATCGGTGGAGAGTCTGTGGTGACAGAGGGAGAGACGGGCAGTGCACGCCGGAGGGAAGGAAGGAGGGAGGTGTGTTATGTGCGCTGCGTCCGTCTGTCTCTTTCAAGTCGAGCTCGGAAGTGGGTGGTAGTGCTGGGGAGGTTGATTCAAATCAGCGAATCGAATCTTTTGAATCATTTCTTCACATAGATTTGTTCACCAACACCAAACCTTTTTAGTTGAGTTTTTAACAAGGGAAACAGGTACAGAACATAGACCCAGCTAAGACAGATTGTTCCCATTAATAAGAATGCCTTGGGAACGGTCTCTGTTAGTTCTTTTTTCGTAACCCGCGAAAAGCTAACCATTCAACAGGTTTCTTGTTTAGTGACAACTTAAAAATAGCCTACACAAAACGTTCTAGGTTTTGTTGTTAGAACCAAAAAATAACATTCCCAGAACGTTATGGAAACCAAAAATTGCTAGCTGGGTACATCCATTTACATACCTGTCAACACTCCCGTTTTTCCCGGGATTCTCCTGAATTTCACCATTCTATCCTGCTATCATTCTGTTTAAATATTTTCCCGTATTTTTAATCTTTCTATAAAAAAAATCCCACTGGGTCTATTTTATTTGTTTGCTACATTCGCTTCCGGTAAAACTCCGTAATTTGTATGGGCCGAACCTCATTATATGAAGAATCACAACAAATTACAAGGTTGTCCAGTTGCCAGATCTTGTATGAAACGCATCTTTCTCACACGATCCACGCATACACATTTCAACCCATTTGTCCCTTCATCTTAACCTACAGCCCAGTGATACGATTGATATCTGTGCAGGGAGTACCACGGGAAAGAAACAACGACTACTGTTAGAAATGGGAGAAGACTCGGGTGGTGCTCCAGTGAAAAAAAACTAAATATACATGTAAATTTAGGCGCTGCACTGCTTTGTTTACTGCGGTTACCGGGGAAACGGCTTTATTCCTGGCGAAAAGCGCCACCTGCTGGCTGAGAATAAATTAGCATTTTTCAATAAGCCCTTCTGCTCTTTTAGACCAAAGCCAAAAACGACCCTTATTTTTACGCAGAAAACACGCAGTTGTAAATGTGAACTGGTGGATCGACAAGAAGATAATGAATTATAAAAATGATTTAATTAAAAATATTTTTTCCATTCATGGTGTCATCTGGGACTTAATCAGCAAAAGTCATTTTGTCAACAGCTGGCACTTAGACTGGAAAATAATAGTAACGCCCTTATGTCATTTTAATTGTGTTTAGCCTTATGTAGGATGAATAATTATCATCTTTCTCCCTCTTTCTTGTGAACAAGATTGAGTCACTGAGCAAATAATCATTTCGGTTATTCAGACTAAGCACTCGAATGCTATTTGCTCATGCTGTAGCCATGCGTTTTTAAGAATTACTCTTTGAATTATTAAGAGCATTTTGTCTTTTGTTTTTGAACTGTTTTTGAATACAGCTTAGCTGCAAATACGTTGACAGTAGGCCTAGTTATCATGCCGTTAACTGAAAACTGAAACGTAAACTAAAGGCAAGATGTGGGCTCGTAGAGAATGAACATATTCCGGACATTGAAGTGAACGCTAATGATTTGTTCAATAACACCGATTCGTGGGTAGAGAGTGGCCCTGAAGCGCCCAAGCCCGGTTTCACACGTGTAGCGCAATCCCATGACAATTAATTACAGCATATTCTCCAGGGTGCAGCGTTGGGTTATCAGATGAAGTGAATGCGCATTTTGTGAATTATTTTTCCTAACTGATAGTAGATGAGATTGCAAGTGTTTTCCCCACCTAACGTTATACACTTTCAAGTAGGGAGATAACTTGTTCATTTTTTTTAAAGCTGCCAAGCAGAAGCTTCATGGCATCTTTCAAAAAATATTTGCATCTTTGATTATAAAGTAAAAAAATAAAAATGTTTGTCTTTGATCGGTTTAATTAAATTTGACCCACTGAAGATCACTTGCTTTAAAATGAATATTAAGTCATCATCTACCAATGCACATGCCACTCGGACATTAAAAATACTTTTTTTCTGTGGAAGACAAAAGGGTTTTTCCCCATATAGCTAAATTGCCTCATAATGTCTGGCTGTCAGGTTCAGATTTTGAGTGGTATATTTAAAAAACTGGGAACACTTTATGAAATAGTTTAATTTGTTAACATTAGTAAATGCATTAGATATCATGAGCTAAGAATGAACATTTTAAAAGCATTTAATAATCTATGTTAATGGTAGTTTTTAAAATATACTGTACTATTATTCATTTTTGTTCATAATACTTTAATTAAAATTAACTAACTTAAAATGTTAAAGAAATTTCAGACTGCGATTAGTTTATTAAAAAAATGTTTTGTTCAGCAAGGATGCATTAAACTGATCAAAAGTTACAGTATGATGTAATGATGATCATTATGATAATGATGCAGAGTAATTCAGTTTTGCCATCACAGGAATACATTGCATTTAAAAATTTGAAAATGGTTATTTTCATTTGTAGCAATATAAATTTGTTAGATCAAATAAATACGGCGTTGGTTACAAAAAGTGACTTAAAAAAAATCCCCAAACTTTTAAATGGTAGTGTATAAATGCTAGGTTAGGATTTTGGGATTTAAAAAGCGGTATCCACAAACTAATACATCTTACACTTATGCAATGAACTATGTTTTTGTGGACATCAACTGCTAAAAGCTGTACCTTGAATGAGTTTTGAAGGATTCGCAGGTGGTGCAGCTTTTCATTAAGTAACGGATCATTGCAGCGGCGGACGAATGATCGCTTGTACTCTAATCGAGAAGAGGACCTGTACTCATTGACAGGTGATAGACTAGTCCTCTCCAGAGCCCTGTACAAATCCCCCAATGAGTCAGCCTGGTGCCTGCGCTCCCACTCTGAACCTACAGAGGGCAGTGAACAGTTACTTACAATGACACCAGAATTTTCACCACAACTGAAATGTTTTACGATTAAAAAAATGCCCAAGTAATAACAGTCCAATAAAAAAAAAAAAATTTTGTAATAATGTAGGTTATACAGTATATAACAGGAATTATCAGCTCTGTCTTTTCATCAAGCTCTGTCTTTTCGGGTTGAAAACCCTTGCTATAGTACAACATAACAGAATTAGTGTTTATTATAATGATCATATTAGCTGTTTGCATTAAGGAGTTACACTTCAGAATAGGGCTGTGCAATATATTGAAATTATCGAAATATCACAAATGTACATATCGCAATATTCATATCGCTACAGCTTGCAATATTTGGGGCCATGAACAAAAGACAAAGAGAAAATCACTCACTGGTCTTACCTAAATAGCTTTTGTAGCTTAAATAAGAATCTGTGCATATTGAATTCAAAGAGTAAATACTAAGAAGTGTTTTATTTTTCCTTTTTATTATTCAGTTCCTAAATTCATGTTAAAATGATTACACTAATGTTAAAATTACATTTTTCAGAAGTTGTTGTACGGGTGCTTTCTTATTAGAATCAGAATCAGAATGAGCTTTATTCACCACTTAAGTGTGCCACTTAAGGAATTTGTTGTGGTTTTACAGGAACTCTTGGTACATACATACAAATAACCATATACAGTATATATGACACAAGATAGTTATAGAAGTTCACAGAACTGACTCAGCAACAGCTGAGTAAAACTGTTTCATCTGAGCATGTGGCACTATCATATCGCATATAGAATCTCGCATTATTTAATGAGTTATCGCATATCGCATTTTTCGTCAATATCGCACAGCCCTACTTCAGAATGACTATCAGGAATCCCAGGATGGAAAAAAAGAGAGAGAGAGAACGGCCCTAAAGCCAAATTCCTCTGTTCCATCCTGAGACGACATTAACACGGACTGAAGGGACTCCTCCTCGTGTGCTTTGAGGGACAGTTTAGTTCTGAGGAATGGTGAATGTGTGGAACAGAAAGGAGGGATGGAAAAGGATAGAAAGGGATGAGAGCTGTCACGTTGGATTAGAAGGACTGCCCCTAATATGAGGCTATTGGAGGTCTTAAGGGAGATGGTTATTCAGCTGAGATTTGCAGCTACAGTGCATCTGAATCAAGCAGCAAGATGTTCATCATTACAGGCTACAAATACAAATTACTGGAGCACTGAAGCAAAATGCAGCATCCTCTGAATGACATTTTGCAAAAAAACATTTAGAGATATTGCCAGGTTGCTATCAAGCCATTCTCAAAACTACAGAAGTGCAGAATCATGATTCTCATTGTGACTGTAATGCCCTCTAGTAAATTACAATCAATATTATAAAAAAAGATAATAATAAAATATTAATGCTGAATAAAATATTATTATTATTATATTTAATATATTAATATTCTTATTAAAGTGACGTGACATGTGGCCAAGTATGGTGACCATGTCATTAGTGCTCTGCATTTATCCCATCCTAAGTGCACACACACAGAAGTGAACACACACACACCGTTAACACACACCTGGAGCAGTGGGCAGCCATTTATGCTGCGGCCCCGGGGAGCAGATAGGGGTTCGGTGCCTTGCTTAAGGGCACCTCAGTCGTGGTATTGAAGGTGGAGAGAGCGCTCTACATTCACTCCCCCCACCTAAAACCCCTGCCGGTACGAGACTCGAACCCGCAACCTTTGGGTTACGAGTCCGACTCTCTAACCATTAGGCCACGAATTAATACTGTATTAAAAAAATTATCTGTTAAGATAATCGATATCAGATTAATTATTAATCGTTATTAATTATTAACAAAATTATTATTACTATTAAATAATAAACAAGATGCATTTTCAAATAATAACAATAAAATATTCGTATTATTATTCAAATAATATTCTTATTAATACAGAATTAAAATAATAATCTGTTAAAATAATCAGTATCAGATTAATTATTAATAATTATAAATTATTCACAAAAGTATTATTATTAATAATAAATTATTATTATTAATAATAATAAAATATTGTTATTATTATTGTTATTATTAATAAAATATTTATCTTAAAATATTAAGCAGAACTAAAACCAATTCTGCATATTGATAAAAAAATATATATATTGTGGATACATTATGATAATTATACATCACAATAGTCATAATAATATTCTGATTCTGATTATTATAATAA